GTTAACTTTTTGTGAAAAAAATAACATCTGCAAGTTTTCACATGATTACGATATCTTTCTTTGAGTAAAAGATTTGTAATAAATGCAGGTCACTGTGCGTAAAAGTTCATCTTACGGATGTAAGACATTTTATTTTAATTTCAACTTGAATAAAAGATAAATTTTATAATTCTGGTGGTTATAATAATGTGATTAATTGTTAAAATATATTTTTATTTGAATCTAAAATTCAATAAATTTCAATCCATCTTGGGGCCGTCGATGTGTTTACATTTTTAAATTTCCACTGCGACCACTAAAGATGATTGAGTTCGATTCTTTGTCAATAATGTGGAACAAAAATGCATGATCCGCACGGAAAGGTATAAAATATTCAACTGGTCCACCAGAGCAGCACATCACGCGCATACCTACGAAATTGAAAAGAAAATGACAAAAAGAGTTGCGAAAAATGTTTTTAAAAAAGTTATTCTTATTTCAATCACAATGATTTCTCTCTTAAATGCATACCAGTTGCGGCAACAGCTTTTGATCCATCTTCGTCAACTTCGATGATGGCTTTGTGAATAGCATCCGACACGTAAAGTTGCTCTTTAGATTCTATAAGATCCGTCAAATTTGCGTTGTTTTTATCAAACATCTCCGACATGCCCAACTGATTCATATGGAAAGAAAAAGTTTTAAATTAAACATCAATTCACTATGAACAGAAATTATGCAAACAACCTCCTTCAAAACACTCTTCAAGTCGATTTCAAATTCAACCTTAAATTTCGGAATCGTAACGCAACAGGTGGTCAATTTCATCTTACTTATAATATCTTTCAATTTATAATTTTTCATTTTTTTCTCCAAAGCCGAAAGGCCGGTACGACTATTCGGCAAAATAATCAAAAACGACAATTTCGAGTCAGCGTACTTCATTTCAAGTGCAACAGCATCCAAATCCTTTAATTTTCCGTATTGCATGCATTTTTCCATGGTCATGAATTCAACGCGATTTTTTTCAATTTCATTGATCCAAAAATCACCTTCACGCGTCTCATTTTTATTGAATTTATATTCCCAAGTGCCTTTAAAGTAAATGGCATTCACCAAAATGAGACGAGTGTCCGCATCGCACATTCCTGGTTTGATGAAATCCTTAATCATTTGATTGGTATTCTCTTCAACAAAATCATTGATTATACGGGCACTTTTGTCCGAATCCTTGAAGTCCAATGATTCAATGCCCGATGAAAACTTTTCAACTGCAATTTCTTTGAAGTGTTCTTCTAATTTGTAACATACAAATGATTGGCAATCGAAAGTGTTGATTTACCAACACTATTCTTAAGCAAATTGTAGTATTCCAAAAAGAGGCTGGCATCGATCGCTTTTTCGAGATTTATTCGCACCATTGGTTCCTTGCGAGAGAAGTGTGAGCGCAGTTGCCACTGATAATGGTGAAATAATCACATTTCCAGACATTGACTTGACACATTCCTATCAATATGAATATGGAAACACATACAATGACAAAAATAATTTTTTATTTAGTAGGTAAACATTTTTAGAAGAACAGTGTATTTTATGTCATTTGCTATAGCTTGAGAGTATTTTACATTTCAAATGTGATGCAACGTCCGTGAAAATAATCAATTTTTTTACGTGTTTATATTTTCTTCAACAAACAAAGAGAATCATAGCGGTAATGATCTCTTTCAAACAGAGTGCAGAAGGTTATTTACGCTCTATCTCAAACTGCATCGTTTGATCTGTGTATATAACCGAATAGAATCAACTTGTTTTTGGTGAGTTTTTGTTGTTGTTGCATAATAATTAAAAATGTGAATCACAACACGCAATTTGCTATTCTTCTTTGTTTCATTCGTACATAAAATAAAAATAAGTAAGTCCAGAACATCACATGGATAAATGTATGAATGAATGTATTGAAAAGAGATTATAACAAATGTCACTGTTGCTCATACTTCACCGTTGAATATTACCGAACACTGTCGCTTAATCACGAATATTTTATACTTTTAGTCATACTTGTGAGCTGATAATTATTTTGATGCAATGTCTGATGTTTATGTCTCTTATTTGCTACAATGAATTACCTGATGGAAATGCAATGCAAATTCGGAAATTCCTTCGGTGAAATCGTCCAGTTTTACTCGTTTTACTTGCGATGCCATTTTTGACTCAAACTTATTGAAAAGCGAAGAGAGTTTATTCCAGCTGTGTATCGTTCGATTTCCTTAATAGTAATGAATAGAATTCCGCGTTTTATATCGAAGAAGGGGAATACAGAACAACAAGTTTTATAATGCAGTAACTGCGCACAGTTTTTGGAATTCCCCATCAAATAA